ACGCCAATATTTGGCGTTCTTTAAAGGACGCCAATAATTTGGCGTTAAATGACGCCAACCATTTTACAGTGGGGTCTTGTGGTTGACGCAGTGGCTTTTTAGCCAACGCTGTCTCCGCTCCCGCAGCTGCCGCTCGGCTGCCGCTGCATGCGTGGACGGTGTGTTTCATGCGCTCGCGACGGAGTGTGTTTGCGAGATTGCATACTCGATTGGGTCGAAGGGGCGATGGCGCCTTACGGGTGGAGGGAGGACCCGTGCGTGACACGCTGGCGTGCAGTGCACGTGCAGAGAAGCACCCAGCGTCTATGTCATCAATCCGTTGTGCCTGCATGGATTGCTTCAAGCTCGCGATTTGAGCTAAAATTGGGCATTTTTATGTGGCGAAACTAGATGAGTGTCAAATTTTCACATATTTAGCACCTAACATGAGGATAATAAAGGTGGGTTGGATGAGTTAATATTAACTTGCAGACGCGCGAGCTAGGCGCTTTTTTAGATAGTCCCCAAGACTGTCTCTGCCGGAGGGCAAAGAGCCCCCTCCCCCTTCCTTTTTGACCTCTGGTTTCCCGTACCGAGCTCGTATCGTACTAACTCATCTAATTCAACATTATTATACTCACGTTGAATCCTAAATATGTTAAAATTGGTCGCTCATCTAGTTTCCGACATCAAGATTACCCAATTTTAGCTAAAATAGTGAGCCCCAATCAATGCACGCACGCATGCGTACGGAATAGGGATCGTCCAGAAAGTACGTCTAGTTTTCTCAAACTTTTTTTATCAAATTGCGGGAGCTCGGCGCCTGCGAGACTCAGAATAGGCCAACCCGCAGTACACGCATGCTCTTCAGGCGAGATGTTGCCTACCTATCAGGCACTATGCGTGCCACGAACCGTCCATTTCGTAACGATGAACGACGGGCGAATTTTCTGGAAGATCCCTTAACCACACAGACCTCTAGCACTGGGTGATTCGGAAAAGGCGCAAGTACGAGTGGGTTTGCCTACCTAGGGGGCCGCCGCGCCTTACGGACAGGGAACAGGGCGAGTAGGCAAACCCGCCCGCACCTGCTTCTTATCAGAATCACCCGGTACGTCGTCTGCAGGTTAAGCATGCTTAACCACCGCCACCCCACCCCAGAAGTCTAACGTGATGTGGACTCGCCTCGATGTCTGGGACGGTCCCGCCCCGGCCCCGCGCACGTCCTTCCCTCTAACCCCCTTGGTGCTTCCAGGTTCGTCGTTTACGCACGTCCGGACGGGCGGCAGTGCGTTCAGCACGTCCCTCAGCGTCCCCGCCGCCACCGCCGCCCCCGAGCAGGCAGCAGCGCCGCCGCGGCCCCGCCAGCACCACACCGCCGTGAGCCCCTCCGGCCCCTCTGCGCCATCCGCCCCCGCGGCCGCGCTCACCACGCCGCCGCCGCTCCTCGAGATCCGCGTGCCGGTGAGCCGCGGCCAGGTGCGCGGGCGCGGGGCCTCGGCGCGCCGCCTGCCGCAGGGCAGCCCCCAGGGCGGCCTCGGCCCGGAGGACGTGCCTCGTCTGCGCTCGCCCAACCCCCAGCTGGGGCCCCTCAACCCGCTGGCGGCCCAGCTCGGCCCCGTTGACTACGAGTACTACGACGACGAGGCCGACGCGGCGCCGTCCGCCACCAAGGTCAAGATCCACGGCGACGGCTGGATCGAGTGCCTGGACCGCGGCAACTTCCCGCACCCCTTCTCATGTCGCAAATTCATCTCGTGCGCCAAGATGGAGTCCGGCGACCTGCAGGGCTGGGAGTACACGTGTCCGCGGGGCCTGTCCTTCGATCCCATCGGTGGCATCTGCAACTGGTCAGCCGGGCTGGGCTGCAAGGCGAGGTAGGCCGGCAGTCCGGTCAACTGGACGTCGCATGACGTCGTGTCGACTTCCCCGTGACGTTGCCCCGATGTCGCTCCGACGTCCTTTCGACCTCAACTGCGCCACGCCGGCGCCACCGCGCCGCTTACAGGCGCAGGGCGCCGTCAAGTACCTGACGTCCCAGACCTCTTCGAGTGACAGTGAAGTGCATAGTTGGGGCTCGTGAGCTCCGCAAAACAGGCCGATTGGCCGACCGCACTCGGGACGCTTTTACGAAGTGCAAGTGGTAGTCGACCTGTCGGCCCTGATACTGACAGTGATTGAAGTGTGATTGTGTGTGCGCGTGATAGAGAAATCGTGTGTGTGTGTGTGAGAGAGAGAGAGAGAGAAAGAGAAAGAAAGAAAGAGAGAAAAGGGGGGGGGGGAGCGCGATTGTGTCTGCCTATGGTGTGTAGAGTAGGCCTAAGGAATGAGACTGGGAGCAAAAATCTCACTTCTGTCGCTCAGAAGTGACGGAGATGAGACTGATTTCTTTCAGGGTCCGTGCTGAGGTATGTGAATTCCACAGATTATTTCTGACGTAAAATTACTTTGTCATTTACACAATTTTCAAAATTGGATGTCTTGCAAATTGTTGAGCAAAATTGTTCTGGTTTACTTGTGTAGCCGAAGTAGAATACTCACAAACCTTCAAAGAGAATATTAATTTACCCTTAACGCCCTTAAGTCCACCAGCCGTATTTTTACCTACTTTTGTCATGAAGACGCCGATGAATAATAAAGCAGTAGTCAGAAGTTGCACACTGCTTTATTGAAACGCTTAAATCAGAACAATAATGGAATAAATGGCACAATAAATCAACAGACAAATCTTCTTCAGCCTTCTTAGAACCGTCATAATACTTATTTCTAATTTATCGATTTATTCAATGCAAATAATAAAATTAGAAATATAGACAAATAAACTAAAATATGGCGCACACAATATCAAAAAAACAAACAGTATGGGCTTTAACTAGATAACACTGACAATATCTTCTCATAAGCCTTTGTGATCTAGGAAAGGTCCTGCTTTCAACAAATCACATCATCTTTGATATGCATTTAAAACTGAACACTACTAGTAGCAGATCAAACAAAAACAGTAAAACAACTTATAAACTTACAGTTAGCCTTTACATAATACCTTCCAGTCAAAATTCAACTTCATTTTACATCATTATTTACATCTTTCAATGCAAAATAATTTCTCACAATTGCATTTTATGAAAATGGTCAAATTTAAATTAGAACCAATTCATTAACTTCAGCGCCTGCTTTTAACAATGTATGAGAAGTAAAGCTAACAAGCACATTTGACTTGGATGTAAGAGAAAACAACTTTCTTGACAGCATCAAGACAGAAATTACGCAGACTTACAGTTTAGCGCCAAAGGCAGCAAATTCATAAATCACAGACTCAAAAAATCAACATTGTATAACATAATTGAAAATGAGACTTGAATCAATAACAAATTCTTAGATCTAAAATGATTTGAGAGAAAAGAAAAAACAAAATACATATCAGGCAAGAAAAACTTTTACACCTGTTTAACAAGGAGAAAATAGACAGTCAAATCTCCTTGAGGAGAGAAATCTTTTCGTGATCCTATACTTAGTTGAGAGAGACTTCACACCAAAACAATTTACTACGAGAGGGGAACATCAATCTGAGCTTCTTTATAAAAAAAAGTCTTATGGGTCAGTTATAAGTCCAAAAGAAATAAAAGAAAACATTTTCAAATTTGCAGTAGTATTTCAGAATGAGGGAGGGTTTACTCAAGTTCAATACACACAAATTTAAAGCCAATAGCTTTTCTAATAGCCTGCTAAGCAGAGAATGCAGAGATATACTGTGAATCTCAAAGTGTTTTGGCAGTTTGGTAAAATAGAATAGAATTTTCTTGCCACTCATGCATAACATTTGTTCTCAATTGCTGACACTGCTTAACATGGGACTAAAATAAATAGCTGCAACTTAAAATGCTTTGAAATGGTTTGACAATAAGTTGGCACACACTTTTACACTCATCTAATGGACGTCAATTTCATACTTAATCAGCAACAATTTGGTCATGGCTTACAATTTGAATACACAGCTGACTACCTTTTACTTGAAAATCTTGAACAGGTGACTCCATTTCATGCAACACATTCAAATTGGCATAGAACATTGTAACAAAAACTCACAAAAGTTCTCACGAGTTAGGGATCATCCAGAAAATACGTTGATCATTGGCCGTTGCGAACCTGCCAGATTCAGCTGAGAGCGCCTGAGAGGCAGGCAACATCTTGAATGCAGTGCATACGTGCACTGCGGGGTGGCCTACCCCGAGTCTCACAGGCGCCAAGCTTTAGTATTTGGCGAATGAATCTCACAAAAGCGGCCGTACTTTCTGTGCGATCCCCTTACTACAAAAGTTAAGTTCATGAACTAGAGAGCCAACTTCAATAATAAATACTCAATGTCTTTTACCTCCCCATACAAATCACAGGGTTCCCACATTTTGGCTCGTAGCATTTTCCATTACTTTTCCATGACATACCAAATTTAAAGAATTTCCTTGACTTTCTGCAATTATATTATAGGGAATCCGTCGTAAGATCTAATACAGCAAAAAAGAAAAACACAAAAAATTTGTGCGCGACCCAAATCCGGCCCATATTTGAATTTCCATGGCCGTCTGAGCAATTTCCTTGACTTTCCCTGACCGTATTTAATTTCCCTGACTTTCCGGGTTTTCCAGACTTGTGGGAACCCTGAATCAGAAAAAATAAGGCAAAAACAGCACTGTCAAATAAATGCACAGCTTTAGAGCTCCGCAGATTCAAAATTATCAATAACACAAACTACTGTAGTATTGTGTTGGGGTAAGTATGAGAACACACTCGATATCAGAGACTACCACATTCACAAAAATGCAATATTTTCTTAATCGACTGACCCAGTCTGCAAAGATTAATCCAATAGACGTCAATTTGACGAAAATTCGTCAAAATATAATCAAATTAGGGGACACACTTTTATCAAATTGACAAATTTTCGTCAAATTGACAGCCTTTTGATTGATCTTTCCTGACTGGGTGAGTGGGTGAGGGCAAAATCTCTGTTTGAAAGGAGGCCCATGTGATAGTTCTTTCATGACAGTATTCAAATTGTGCCATCCAATGTAAAGATCAACATTAACATACACAGTAGATGGCAGGGATCACGAGGACACCTCGAGTTTTTCAAAGTCGGTATCGTCGAGCGTGTGGAGCCAGTTGAAGATCATCATGTTGCGGTCGTAGCGGGAGAGGGGCCGCCCCTGCGACCGCTCCACGTCGCGCACCGTCAGCGGGAAGGCGCGCGCCCCGGGGTGCACGCCGTGGGCTGCGTGTCCGGGGTCGCGGTGCTTCACGACGCGCATCACTGTGGAGGTGGGCGAGAGCGTGCCGCTGAGGCGCGCGGGCGGTGGCCCGCCCGGGACAGTGAGCAGCGAGGGCGCGGGCCCGCTGGGCGCGCTGGGCGGCGCGGGCTGAGCCAGGCTGCCGGACACGCTGCCGCCCCTGCTCGAGCCAGGCGCGCTGCTGCCCGGTCCCATGCTGGGGATGGGCGAGGAGGCCGCCGCCGAGCTGGCCGAGGCCGCCGCCTCCAGGCGGTCCAGGTTAAACTCGCTCTGCGACAGCCGCTCCAGCGCTTTGTACGTCATGAGCAGTCGCCGCCTGATGTAGTTCTGCCGAACCTGAGGACAGAAACGGGGCGGGGTCAGCGAAAGCCCTCGTGGTTGGCGAGCCGTGCAGGCGGGCGGAGTCCGAGGCGGAGTCACCTACCTTTTTGTTGACAGAGCGAATGAGGTCTGCGGGGGTGAAGGACGGCGTGGCGGGGGTGGGCGCCGGGGCGGGCGGCGGCCCCTGCCCGAGGGCGCCGGACGGGCCGACTAGGCTGTGGCCGCCGTGCGGGGAGGGCAGCTGCGAGGTGGAGACCACGTCGCCGACGGCTACCCACGTGGAGCAGGACCTGGAGGTGCGGTTGAGCTGGTGCTGCTCCATGATGAAGCCCAGGCGCTGCAGTGAGTTGAGCGCCGGCTCCGACACGCTGGGCCGCATACTGGTCGGCGGGGAGTCCCCCTCGGGCCCGGCCTGGTTGATGGTGAGCGCGCCGTACGTCCCCAGCGTGAGGACTGACCCCACGTGCAGCCCGCCCTCGCCGCCGTTGGCGCCCTGGTTCTCGGGAAGCTGGGCGATGTCGCTGGTGCTGAACGAGCGTTGCAGCCCGAGCGCGGACGACAGGGCGGCGCAGCTCCGTATAAGCTCGTTTTCCTCCTCGAACCACAGCAGCTCGGGGATGTCGGGTGGGCTGTGGTACAGAAAAGGGCGTTATCTATTTTAGCGTTCCCTATCTTGATCGCGTTCCGTCAAAACTTTCATCATGGCGTGGGGAGATGTTTGTGCTGGCAAGACAACGCACGACGGAGTGCGGGTAGGCAACCCGGCGCGCACCTGCTGCCGCCCGCCAACGGCCGCGTAGGCAACCCGGTGCGCTTGCAGACTGAGCTGGCGGCCCATCTTGGGATCGGTGGGCGCCCCCGACTGACTCAGACTATGGCTTTGTGATCCTGTCCCGATCGTCCGGCGCCCAGCTATTGGTGTACCTATACATAGGGAACCAAGGGCGCGAGGCGAAGGCGCGCCCGACGCCTTTCTTAACCGGATACAACTTTGGCTACGACACAACAGCGTTGCGAGTTTGCGTACCATAGGGGCGATTGCGCCCTACGGGTATAGCGAGTGAGTAGGCAAACCCGCATACTGTTGTGTTGTGATCGTGAAACACTGTAAGGTACAGCTCTACCCTTGTCGCACTCCAGCGTTACTTGAACGGTCTGCGGTATGGTCGGCTGCACCCTGCACCACGTCCATCCCAACACCCTGGCAGCGAACCCCACGCTACTCGCATCTCTCACTGCAGACCCTCCCCCCCCCCCCAGCGGACATTCTCAGAGTCGAGCGAAAGGTCACCACAGCAGTTAGGCCCAAAGCGTGGCGCACGAGTGGGATGGGCAGAAAGGGCAAACGATATGACCCCTCCCCCTCCTCGCCACTCCCTTTCCCTTCTGGCCAACCCCGCGAGGCTTTGGGGGGGTGTCTCGTGTCTCGTTTTCGCCGCTTGACGCGGACGCCCCCCGGACGGAACGCTTCCGGGCGGGAGGGGGGGGGGGCTCGTCTGCGCGCTGCGTGGGCGTGAGCCGCTTGGGCCGTGCTCGAGGGAAATCTCGTAGTGTCAGACAAAAGTGCCGGGCGAGCAGCGCACCCACTCCCGGGCCAGCGGGCCAGGGCCAGCAGAAGGGGCTCCCACACCTGGGTGGATTAACGCTGAACATCCGTCCGTGGACGGGGCTTATAAAACGGGTGCTTAACACATTGAGTCTTACATGGCCACAATGAGCTGTTTTTGCGGCAACGACGACGACCCCCCCCCCCCCTTGCCTCTGGGTCTGGGACTCAAGGTGGTAAGGGGTGAAAACGGAGAGTCCCGATGGAAATATAAAAGACTATATAGCGAACAGATAGTTTAAAAGCTACAAGAGGGTGACTTTTGGCAGAGACCAAATAAAATAAGTAACCCACCCTGGGAGAACTACAATTTGTCTGCCATCGAAACCCGCCCTTGCCTACCGATATATTCTGCATTTGCGCCCTAACGGATCGTCTGCGACCCCAACTGCCGGTACAGCAGAATACTCCTCTAGGCGTCCCTAAGTATTTAAACTCTGTTAAAAAAAAACACCCTTTACGTCATTAGAATCACGGTGCTGCATGTGCCATTCCTCCTGGTAGCGCGGAAAGGCGTTGCGGAAGGTGCGACGTGAGTCGAGTGTCGAGTGCTTGTCACTCCCCGGGCGGCCGCACTACAAGTAAAGGGGTGAGCGTTGCTGGCTCCTCAAGAGCGATTTCGTAAATCCAATTTGATCACTCCTGGGAGAGCGATCTTCTTGAATGACGTCGCTCCTTTACAGTCATTCACTGGGCGTTGGTATGACTCTACAAGAGTGATCTTGGCCGAGATGACTCAAATTGAGTGATGTTTTCGTAAAACAGATGCATCCATATGACTAATGAGCAATTCAAAACTAGGTCGCTCTATTTGAGTGATGAAGAAACACATCACTTAATTTGGGTGAGAAAGATGACTCCCACGTTTACAGTGCGGGGCCGGGCGGCGCTGCGTGGAGCGGGCAGCGGGCCCCCCGCCCGCCCGGGCGGTGCGGTGCGGTGCTGTGGGGCCCCGCCGCCCTCCGGCCGCCCGCCCTGCCCAGCCCAGCCGCAGTCCCGGGCCCGACCCAACGAGGGCGCATCGATCGGAACTCGCACCAACACATTCGCAGCTCCACGCACACTCGGCACACCGCGCACTCTCCCCAAATAAACACGCGTAGGGCTCTCGTTTTTTAGACTATTTTTTTCCGGTTGTTTCAAGCCACAATCGTCAGAGCACTAAACTCACATCCACACTCTTTCCACTTCGTTCAGCACATGTATACGTGACCCCGACGATTCTGTTTGAATACTGACTCCATGATTACGGCATGTGCACCATTGCCCTCACAATCGCCCAGCGCATAGTATGATTTGTTAGGGAATTTTTGTTACTTAACGGGTGACAAAACTTAAGGCATTTCGTAAAATCGAAAACATTTCTGAAACTAAGATAAACTGAAGGCCTTTTTTGGGAAACCAGGGACAAGGTTACGACGTACGAGCTTGTAGAGGCACGCAATGAAAAAACCAACGGACAAAACAAATGAAACAAAAATGAAAAGAGAGTAGACAGAACACTTGGACTAGAGTACTCGCCACACCACACTACCACCCACCTCTATTTTGTACACTCACCGGGTGATGGAGACCTGGCTGATGCTGTCCGGATTGGGCGACACTCCCCGCTTGTTGAAGCCCACTAGTCTGAGGCCCCTCATGTCGTTGGCCAGCGACATGGAGGACACCGACAGCAGGGACAGGTCCGTGGTCACAGACTCGTGTGACGGCGACCGCAGCATTCGGCACGACACGGACAGCACCGGTGTTTGTGGCGGCCCGATGGGCGGCCCCGCGGCCGCCGCCCCGGACACCTCGGGGGGCTCCACGCCCGCGCCCGCGCCTGGCACCGGCAGCGAGCCGACGCCGCCATCGCCACCGGCGGGCGCGGTCGACGTCATCCCCTCGACGGCGAGCTCAGGTCCCAAAAGTCGTCCCTCGCGCGGCGACGCGCACGCCCATCGCTACGCAGCCTCAGTCGGACCTGGACGAGAGGCGCTTGTCCCGTGTCTGTGTCCTCGCGGCGTGGCGTGGCGGGGTGGAGAGGGGCGCTCAGGGCGCATGGTCCGCACGACCCGGAGTGGGATGGTGCGAGTCGGCGGATCGATAGCGGTATGCCCGGGGCGCTGCGTAGCGGCCAGCCCTCGCGGGGGTGGTTGAGGGGAGGGGGCGTGGGCAGGGGCTTGCAGTTCCACCCCTCGACTCCAGTCCACGCCGAATCGGTCGTCCTTGTCGCACACACAGGGTAGCGGGCCGCGTCGGCGGAAGACAGGAGCTAGAAAAGATTCTGCCTCTCTGATCTCCGGTTCTAGTCAAAACTATTTATGTACTTCGATTGAATTCGGGTCCATCGGGCCAGTTAAATAAAAGCCTAGGTAAATGATGCTTAATTTTATTTCTGGTGTAGGGATGACATATTCTTTTATAACAATAACTGTAACAAAATAGGAAACAAAGATGACTGCAGATTCCTTGGCAAACAAGATACATGAAACTAGACTCTACGGTAACATACTAATAAAGTTTAGACAATGACTAACAAACAGTTCGAGGACAGTCCAAATTATTTAAGCATACTGCTCTAGAAACAATCTGAAAACAATAGTCAACTAAAAATATCAACAGCCACCTCGTCTATAGAGAACTGTGAACATTGTATATACAATTTTCAGAAGATTAAGACAGAATCCGGGCTTCTCAAAATTTCATACAGTGAGAAGCAATAACTAAGTCAGCACATTAAAAATTAAAGATACTGGTTCAAGAGATCACTGTCCTCAAACTGTTGGCATCTAGCAAACAGCAACTTTCCTGCTGATTGGCACCCCTCAACTGACACACACACACATACATTCACAGACTCTTACACACATTCTTACCGTCAAATGCGTAACTATTGGAACTAGGCACACCAACACATCTTCAAAAATAATATGGTGGGCTATTTGAACGAGAACAGAGATACTTTGTACAGACACAAGAAAAAGTGCACAGCACATTTGAAAACCTGTGCAATTATATTGCTACTAATCTCCACATTCCTCTCAAATCACCCTGATGACATATCCAGCAATTCACTCAGTCTGAGTAAAATGCAAACTTTCACACAAAGACAATATCACTAAAACTGCCCACCAACCAAGTCAAAAGAAATTATTCAGTCCACTTTTGACATTTGGTATGAAGGACACACCTGGTGAGGAGAGAACTAAATGTTCCTTAGTTCTTCTTCTCATCCTTATCCTTATCATCCTTCGCTTGGTTTTCTGTGCTCTCTGATGAGCTTTCTGATGAACCCTCACTTTTGCTTCCACTGTCCCTCTCAGCGGCCATCTAAATGATGACAAGAAATTATATGATTAGCATTATTACACCCACTAACCGCACATAAACTGCATCACAGGAGTTATAGAACTTACCTTCTTGTATGCCATTTCAAAAAGCTTAAGTGATGCCTGCTGGAGGTTGCCAGTTGCTTTGCGGATTTCCTCAGGGTCGGAGTCTTCCTTATTAGCCAAAAGGTCGCGAACACTTGTAATTTGCTCGCGAAGCTTGTCACACTAAAATAAAGAACGTGGGTAAAGAATTTTCAAATAGAAGTCACAGGTCTTATCTTAAGGACTAATTTACTCACCTCATCGGATGGTAATTGGTCCTTGAACTCATCCATTTTGGATTCTGTGTCATGAATAATACCCTCAGCCTGGTTGACTGCTTCAACACGGTCCTTCTTCACCTTGTCTTGAGCAGCATACTGTTCTGCATTGCGTACCATGTTCTCAATTTCATCTTTGCTCAATCCACCAGATGATTGAATAACAACTGGAATTTAGAAAGCATTCAATAGAGAATTAGTCTCAGGAACATAACATACATAGGATGGATGTCTATTGAAGTTGAAGCCAAGCCCGCAAGCCCTACTCAGAATTTTACTATCCACACAAAAATATTGAGAGACGAAAGATATAAATTCATCACAGAAGAGCTTGGATGTCAACTTGAAATACATACTGAGATAGAAGCAGTCAGAAATAATTTTCCACAGAGTGATTGAGAGACGAAAGATATTAATCATCACATAAATGCTTCATAGAAAACATTAGTACATAATTTTAAAGGGAAGTAGGCAGTGAAGAGATAAAACCAGAATTCCTCAGAAATTTCTTTCCACATATGTTCTTTGAGAGACGAAAGATAAAATTCATCCTTGGAGAAACTTGGTTGGATGTACCCATAGAGAACATACCTAGACATTCAGAGTACTATCTTCAACATAGTGATTGAGAGACGAAAGATATGCATCATCATGAGTGTCATTTTAAAATGGAATTCATTGATAGTAGTTTAAAAGCAGGGGAATACAAGCACAAGACTCTCAGAATAACTTTTCCACACATAAATTCCACACATAAATTGAGAGACGAAAGATATTATTCATCATAGAGGCATTCCACTGACCATACAAATCTATAACACCAATCAAGTTTGGTTCCAATTCAGTTTTAGAAAGTTAGTGATGATGAGGCAGTGGCAAAGTAATGAATTATATAGAAAAGTCTGTAGCACTGGATGGAAAATTCAATCCTTTCAAAGAACATTGTGCTCCTTCAGAAGTATTTTGTCCACATCATTATTTGAGAGACGAAAGATATGATTCATCATAAAGGACAATGTTCCCAAAACCTAATCAAGTTCTGATATGATCAGAGTTTGAAAATCCACACAAGGTATTTGAATGACAAAAGTGTGTCTTCATGGCAAATACTAAAGGCAAAATGTTTGAGTACTTACTCTGTTGCTCCTTGCCAGTTCCCTTGTCGCGTGCTGATACATGGACAATGCCGTTGGCATCAATATCAAAGGTGACCTCAATCTGAGGAACGCCACGGGGTGCAGGAGGGATACCAACAAGAGTGAACTGTCCAAGTAACTTGTTGTCAGAGGCCATCTCACGTTCACCTTGATGAACCTTGATTTCAACTTGCGTTTGACCATCAGCAGCAGTAGAAAAGACCTGGCTTTTCTTGGTGGGGATAGTGGTATTTCTTGAAATGAGTCGAGTGAAAACTCCACCCAAAGTTTCAATTCCAAGTGAAAGAGGGGTAACATCCAACAACAAGACATCGGTGACATCTCCCGCCAAAACACCTCCCTGCACAGCAGCACCCACAGCCACAGCCTCGTCAGGGTTCACTGACCTGCTAGGCTGCCTACCAAAAATTTCTTGTACTGTTTGTTGAACCTGTGGTGATACTGACATTAGTAATCTCCAAAATATGCAAACTAAAATAACTTAACAATTATAGAACATACCTTTGGCATTCGGGACATACCACCAACCAAAAGAACTTCACCGATATCAGACTTGGCAACCTCACCATCCTGAAGAGCCTTCTTGCAAGGGTCAACAGTTTTCTTGATAAGACCATCTACAAGTGTTTCAAACTTGGAACGAGTCAGCTTCAGGTTCATGTGTTTAGGTCCTGAAGCATCCATTGTAAGATAAGGCAGATTAATGTCTGTCTGCATGGATGATGAAAGTTCACATTTAGCTTTCTCAGCAGCCTCCTTAAGACGCTGCATAGCCATAGGATCTTTGGTGATGTCAAGGCCTTGCTATTGATTAACAATGCATGGTATATTAGAGATTTTCAAAAGTAATAAAATTAACACAAAATTATCCACAAAATCAAGTAGGTATACCTCTTTCTTAAATTCAGCAACTAAGAAATTCACAAGTGTATTATCAAAGTCTTCACCACCAAGGAAAGTATCACCATTAGTTGACTTGACTTCAAAGACTCCCTTCTGAATTTCCAAAATGGAAATATCAAAGGTACCACCACCGAGGTCATAAACAGCAATTCTAAATTACAGAAACATGTTCGTTTAAAAATCAACAGGATGAGGGTCAATGAAAAATAAGGATTAGTTTTCTTACACTTTGTCTTCAGTCTTGTCCATGCCGTAAGCCAATGCAGCGGCGGTTGGTTCATTGATGACTCTTAAAACATTTAAACCAGCAATTTGGCCAGCATCTTTTGTAGCCTGAAACAAATTTTAATTAAATGAAAAAACCCTTATTTGGTCCATCATGATTTCATACAAAAAAAAAAAATCATAATTTTCATTACCTGTCTCTGAGAATCATTGAAGTATGCAGGAACTGTGACAACTGCATTCTTCACAGGGGTGTTAAGGTAACTTTCAGCAGTCTCCCTCATTTTCATTAATGTGAATGCTCCTATTTGACTGGGTGAGTACATTTTACCATCAGTTGCTTGTACCCAAGCATCACCATTAGATGCCTTCACTATTTTGTATGAGACTGTTTTCCTGCAAGGCAATCAAAACCATTTTATTACAGTGTGTGACTCGACTCTTAACTTTTATTAGAATTACAATTCAGCTCTCTTACATGTCTTTTTTGACTTCAGCATCCTCAAATCGTCTGCCAATCAAGCGCTTGGTTGCATAAAAAGTATTGGCTGAGTTGGTTACAGCTTGGCGTTTTGCCGGCATACCCACAAGGCGCTCTCCATCTAAGACATTGACAAACAATTCACACAAAAGGGTCAATCAAGAATTGATGTTAAACAGGTGATACACATTTAAGAAGAGGGCTGTGTCCTAATTTTGTCCAATATTGAAAAATCTTTGTGTCTACAATCACAAGAAAACAGCTTTCCAAGCACTGCTTGGCAGGAAACCTCAGCCTCACCAGGGCAAATAATGTTGGGGTGCGACAATTCCCCTTTCCTTGCCACACTCATGGTTCTTCCTAGCCGTTATAACGGATTAATATTGATTTATATCTAATTTGCTAGTAAAGCACTTCTCTATCTCTCTATTAAGAGTTAAAGCTAGCTGACATCTTAATATTGCATATGTATATTTATCTTAAGTGTTGGTGTTTTAGGGTATTATCTGCTAAAAACCAAGGCACAAAGAATGAACAGAAATAAATTTTCTGAAGTATACCTTTGCTGAATGCAACAACCGAGGGAGTAGTCCTGGATCCTTCTGCGTTTTCAATAACTTTTGCTTGCTTTCCTTCCATAACAGCAACACAGGAGTTAGTTGTACCAAGATCGATACCAATGACAGCACCTTTAACTCCCTCAGATCTGTAATGAAATTTCAGTTCACAGTTCAACTTCTTTAAGAAACAGCAGTGATAGGATGATTAGCATTAAGACAAAACTTACTTGTTTCTTTGTTGAAGTCCATCTTGAGCAAAAACTGGGGTTTGCTAGAAATAAAATGAAAAAAACACACAAATAACAAAACAGCACTTTTAAATTAATGATATGTAAAGGAAGAGAAAATTAAAACACATGGTTCAAGAAAATGGCAGTGGGAATACATAGCATTGAAGATGAGTACACACAGAGACATTACATAATGCACCCAAAGACATTTAAACATACTTGACTTTAAAAGTAATTGGCATTCCAAAAAATGAAACACAGGGAAGTAAAAAGCAAAACTATTGATAATTATTGGAAATTATGGTAGTTAGGCCAAATAACCTTCAAAAATGTACCATAAAAAAAGGATAATTCTCTTTCAAAGGGAAACAAGGTAACATTAAAATAAATCACACAATTATGTTAAATTTACAAATGTTAAATCACAAGTTCACTTTTACCCGAAACTGAGATAGAAATATGATTCCAGAAAGTTCTTCCAAGCCCCTGCCCTCTCTCAACCTTGTGACTAAACGGAATAAGACACCAAGCAATGACGAATAAAATTGATGTAAAAAGACAAATACCGATCGAAATAAGCTGGTAAGTGTGTCTTGGTTTAATGGTACACCCTTGTGCATCAATGCGAAGAGAATTTCATCATCATTAAACCCCCCGTCCTGAACCCGGAGCCGGCTTAACAAGACTTGATCTTATCTAAATCACCAAAGAATAATTTGATGTACTCAATTCTCATGACGGCTGCCTACTTTAACCCCAACAACGGCACTAAATATTTCACACGAAACGGTTAAAATCAAGGTTTTGAACAATCATGGAATACTGAGCTTGCCCTTCCATGAAACGTGCTCTAGGGGGTTACTTACTTTCTTTAATAAAATGCTGAAATGCCTCTGCCCAGACACTGCGTGGCTGACATTGGTGAAGTTACGGCCAACTAAGCCTCCGACGAACATTTTGGAATCCTGGAAACGGTAGGACAGAAACTAGAGGAAAACCCAAAGGAGGGTGATGCAACGGCAAGCGCGCTTCGAGAAGTGCAGACGAAGAAGACGGAGTCAGGCGCATGCGGGCGGGAGGCATGGGTACGAGAGGAGAAGAAGGAGGTAAGAACACTCTTCAACCGGAACATGAAAGAAGTCCAAGGTCCGCAATAGCCAGTTTCCTGGCGCGCTGGCTCACACTTTTCAACTGTGTGTGTACAAGCTTTTTCAGGAGGCTTGCAGGAGGAAAAAGAATAACAAGCAACTGAGGTTTCTTTGAAAATTACAATGAGGTTGAAATATAGAGGGCATTACTAAATGTAAAATTTCCTAATGGGTAAATTAAATTTAAGTCCCATATGAGGGAATAAAATGCAAATCAATTTATGAGAAGAGAGTCAGAAAATTGGCCAAGCCACGTTGATTGAGCTGGGTTGTGGATATTTCTATTATTTATTTATTTTATGAACAAACAAGTTCGAGTGCTATGCCCTGTATGGACCTCGAACAATTATACAGGGTGGTCCACAGACCCCTTCCTTTATTTTGCTTATACTGTACCGCATGCATGCGTGCGGGCGGGCTTGCCTACTGTCGCTCACTATGGGCGCCTTATGACCCCGTGCGAGTATGCAATCCATCCGCACGCCTGCATGCGGTACAGTATAAGCAAAATAAAGGAAGGGGTCTGTGAACCACCCTGAACAGTTGGTTGGTAGTGACTGCTGAACAGCCGGAATTGCTTATTATTATTATTGTGTTTTCATACTTAAACTCATGATTGAGGGCTGGAACAATCCTTGCCATTGGTAAGGATAAAACATTTCGGCATAATTCCATTCAAGGATAAATAAACATTTATTTTTTTCTCATTTTCAGGGTGATGATAACACACTGTAAGGGTAACACATTTTCAGTTCACTTTCACATGAGTGCAAAGAACACTGCGGGATCATTTTGAAAGTTGAATATAGAAATGTGTTGGATGGGCCGACCATCTTCAATGAATTTAATTAAATATTTGTACAAATAAATTGCTTCAATAATTCAAATATATACAAAGGTCACAATTTTGGCCAAGGGTCAATTGATCTTTCAAAAACATTACATCATTCAAAAATTAATCAAGATGCACTGTGGAACTTTGACATGTACTGAGTCTGTAGCTCTTTTCACACATACTTTTTGGTGGATTCACTCAAGTACTGTGTTAAAATTGCACAAGTAAAATGGTAATAAATTTAATTATAATTTCCAATTTTAATTTGATCCAGATTCTGGATTTGTCATACTCCAGAAACCCAATAAAAAATGTCCCAATTCAACTGTAATTTGAAATTTCTGCAAGAATAATAGGAAAGCAGGACTTGAAAATTTCATTTGTCAACAACAAATACCAGTCTTTGGTATGAAAAGCTACCTTTTCTCAAAGCTCTTCAAAACAGATGTTAAAAATGTTCAACAAACACTTTAGAAAACAATATTAAAGTATATATAACCCTTCAGGTGGGTTGGCACTGGCGTACTACAGTAGTTTATGTTCTCTTTTTTACGTATAACTGGATTACTAAGATTGGGGTTGATATTGCACTCTTGTGAAAGAGCCCTTGACAGCTTGCAGAATAGAAACAAAAGCAAACTGCTCCAGACCACACAACTACACAAACTTACATACAGACAGGCATACAGGCCATGGAAATACTGTGATTGCTGCACATAACACAATACCACCAGGGTATGGTGCATTAATAAGTTAGGCACCCATGTTTGAACAAAGGAATAAGTACAAACTCTTTATGTACTGAATTGGAACACCCACTTCAATCATACGGAAGAAGAGGTAGGGTTAAGAGCAGTGTGCACACCAAATAAATTTAAGAAGAAAAGAGAAGTCTGGCAATCAAGTTCATTGTCATTATCGATGAAGTTCATTTATGTCAGCCAGATGAGCAGACAGGCTGTCAATAATTTATTGACAGAATTAGTAAGAACCAGATAAATTATTCATTGTTCTACAGAACACTGCTCCAACCCCACCTTAGGAAGCATGCTGTACTACCTTCCACCCCAAGGGCATAAGTGCTTTGTAAACATCATTTAATGTACTTGGGAATGTTACGATTAGTAAAAATTATTGATGAAATCACAATTCAATAAATAAGGTAAAATAAAATAAAAGGACCCTCAGTCCATATTTCAGGTGTGTGGACAAGTGAAAATCACACACACCCTACTTCCTTATGGCGCCGTGCATGTGTGCTTTGATCGGCAGTATATATTTCTAACAGTAATAACATAATAATTACATTAATTATAATAATAAAATAATTTACAACCCATAAAATGAAAAGATCTACATAAAGCAACACTAACACTTCTGCCACTATTAATAGTGGTAACTTGTGTATATAATACACAACACAATGCACAAATGAGACTCCAATTAAAACACTGAGAATATTACAAATACACATCAAGTATTTACTAATCGTAAGCTTCCCACATATGATCCAAAGTATGAAACGATATACTTTATAATAAGGACAACCACTAATACCTGTCTCTAAATTGAATTAACTATGAGAAAAATTGTACCCATTTCACAAATGAAATTTTGGAAATAATAATTTGGAATAACAAATGTTCGATTCCACAGCATTTTATACTGGGTATATCATCTACAAATCAATTTAAAACAAATGCCTAGGTGTATAAGTGTAAAAAATTGCTTAAAATTTGTCAAAAATTCTGCTAACATTTGGTATCATTGTTAACACAACTTATTTAACAATGAATTTATCTCAATATCTGGTTGTAACATATTGTGTCTTCAGATGTCATGATAAAGGCTTTCTAAGAGGGTACTTAGCAGTTCAAAAACCTATACCTTCTGGAAAATAGATGATCTTTCCTAAATAGCAGACAGAAGTAACAAAGGCTTGCTTTGTTACCATCTTAAGTAGACCTGCTCAAAGGTACGTATAATGATATGGGCTTTGATAGAATATCTCACTCAACACTTACATAGTAGGAACAGCTGAGGGGAGATGATGTATGATTAGATTTGTTAAAAAATGAAAACATTGAGCAGGCAACATCCATGGAATCAAATGTGTGTGGCCTGAGTTTATCTCCTCAGTTGTCATTTTTGCCACAGAATGCCAATACTGACTTAAAACTTACAGGATACATAATCACAAAAGGTCTTTATGCTGTTCATTCACAGAATAATGTTGTAATATGGATACAAAAATAATTCATGCATCTAAATGCAAAGATACTTCCATGAGGTCAAAATAAAGATAAAATTAACAATTATTTAATACATCTCATTCCCCCTGAAACCACAGTAACAACAACAACTTTTGTAGTTACTTTCACTCTTATCTAGAAAAATAACTAATAGAAAAGATGAAAATTGAACAACAAATAGGAAGTATCAGGTCATGCTCATAGATGATGAATTTGTATTCACCTGTCAGGTTAATTCCTTACAATCTGGAATGGACCCAAGAGGTGAATAACATGGCATTTGGTAATAATTACTAACAAAATTCTGCAAATAAGGAACACCATAAAAATTCTTCCTGTTACAAATGGTTTTAAAAAATCACAGCTTAACAAGAATTTACAATGGATGTACTAACACCCAAATATTCCTGCTTCAAATTCTTGCATGACACAATGAGGTGCAGTTTTAACATGTTTACGTTAGTCTGAGGTCCCCTGAACATAGCAACACAACTTTGTACTGAACATTATTTACTTCTGAGAAAAATATATATATATATGCATATATATATATGTATATATAACTTACATATATATAATCGAGATTCACTAGAGGGAAGTTGCTTTTTATCACTGGCTAACAGCAGGAGATTTTTTGTCCGAGTCTTGGCTAGAAGGTGTGTTACCTTGTGGTGGTGGACCTCTGTCTCCACCTGGACCACCAACACCCACAGGACCTCCACCACCCCATGAGTTGGGTCCTCCAGCCATTGGGGAGTCAGAAAAACCATGGTTATCATGATCCATGGAATTTGCAGCATCATATTGAGTATTCTCAAGCCGTGTAATAAGTCTCTCATCTTCATCACCAAACTCCCCGCCCATCAAAGATGGCTCACCTACCACCATTACATCCTGCAACATAAAATTTTGAGTTGTGTGATGCCATACATTTACACTACGTATTTTTGTGGCAAAACTGATTTAAAACAGGCTGTTGTAGGAACAAATACTAACCTGAGAGGCTAAAGAAAAGTTAGGACCCGGTGACCTCTTCTTGTTTGGAGCTGGTGGAGCATTATTGGCAACACCTCCTGATGTTGAGCCTTTCCTTTTCCGTCTTTTGTTAGCTGGCCTCTGGGATTCTATTAAAAATGGATGAGAAAAGAAAAAGATTGTTATTCATTGTCATTAAATTCTTCAATAACATTTTCAGTTTACTGGCATAGATTTATCCTAGCACCCCTGGCCCTAGTGGACAGAGTGGGGCTAATCCAAAAGAAGCACCTGGTTAAACAAATGCAACTTTAGTTATGACATGTTGTATTTGTTTGACCCCGGGCCTCTTCCAGTTGAGGGATACTAGAATTATCTTTGCAGTTCCAATAGTAAGAACAAGTTAGTGGAAGGTATTTACAAGCTCCAAAAATGCATGACTACAATCTCTTCATCAAATTTGGATATTTGTATTTTTTTATGTAATTATCTCTATGAAGCAGTTTGATACTGACTTTAAAACAAGTTTTGGACGCAGTCTTTTAGACACAATGTTCACAAAAGGTCATTTGAAGATAATTGGTCATCAGCAGAATTAAAAACAAAATAAAAAAAAATTGTAAAAATGACACTGAAGTGTCCCAGCATACATGCACTTGCAATAGCACCATAAACCAAAGATACAAAAGAAGAGATGTTGACAATGCATTTGGGCTACCTCTCTTACCCGGCGGAGCAACCATCCGTTGCCATTTTTGGAAAAGTGTTGTCTTTAAGCAATCTCTTGGGGTAAGGGCATAGGCTTTATGTCTTGACATTAGTTCTTGCATTGGCTCAAGAATTACACATAGCTGCAAGGAAATAGAGGTGTTAACATCAAAATGGCACAAAATTGTATAATTGGAAAGAAGGCGCCAAAAACAAAGCAATACTTACTCTCAGGTAGTTAAGAGTTGAATTAGTGATCCCTGATCTTGTGATATTTTTGGAGATTGATTCAAGCATGCTAGGGTCTTGACTTGAATGCATACCAACAACGGTACGAGGCACCAATTCACGATGACTTCTAACAGTTAAATGCCATGACTTGATTCGCATTAGGTCATCAAAGGTAAACTCCAAAATCAACCTGCCTTCTGTACAAACCTATATGAACAGAAAATTCATTGTAATCCATTGGTACTTAAAAGAATACTAGAAAAATGAGTTACTTGAATATTCTGAGTGACTTACTCTTGTAAACATTGGTTTCCCATGGAGTGTGACCATAGTGCACTGCTCACAGTCCAAGGTAATACTTGTATTGTGGAAAGATTCTTTTGGGTGCTTAAGATTGTAATATAATTCTGTTACTCCTCCCTCAAATATTGTTCGGAAGTAGCGAGGAATTAAAGTTCTTCCTATAGCTGTAAATTAAAATTAGGTATTAATCTGTTATCCAAACTTTTAAAAATTCAAAATCTAAAACAATCTCTTACTGTATCGCTTTGGTCCATCTTCCAAGCAGAATGTTAGTGTTAGTGTTGCATCATCTTCAAAGAACTCTGTTGCAAATGCATCCCACCACAAATTGTCACTTTCCTGTAATCAATTTAACAACACACACAAACAGGTATTTAGAGGAAACCTCCAGTTATAAAAGTTAAGTGCAAATGTTGGTCTTCAGTAAGTCTCACCTCAGTTCTTTGCTGTAACCGTTTGTTAAGTTCGAAAATACGATAGTCCGGTTGGCCAAAGCACGAGGTATGCCGTCTTGGGACGGGCAGCGACCTGGAAGCATATGATTTGCAAATTAGATTTCTGGAGGGAGAGGTTCAAGACTAACTGGACTTCTTACTCCTTCAGATAGTTTAATCGCAGTTTGAATCGGGTCAAATTAAATATAACTCATTGTACTCTATCAGGTCCTAGTAATAAGGGCGGCTGTCAAAATCGTCGAAATCTCGGTAGGTGGTCGACCCCAGCAGCCCAGCGCAGAGCGCGCCAGGGGCAGGGGAAGTGGTGACGCCAAAGGGGGGGAAAAGCACGGTGCAGCGCGCGGGAGGGTCCGGCAAGATGCTCTTAGGCAGTGCGACGATCAGGTCGAGAGTGGCCGAGCCGCGGGTGCGAGCGAGAGGGGGCGAGGTAGAGAGCGAGAGAAAGGGGAAGAGCACTTCTCCCGGAGGCGAGGCAGGGCAAGCCTATGGCAGTACAGGCAACGGTACAGACCGAGCCCCCTGCGGCCGTCCGCGGCCCGGCCCTTGGACCCTCGCGGGGCAGCCACCAGTCAGAGGGCGACATTCGCGGCCCGACCGGCTCAAAGCCCTCAAAGTACAATTAATTTAGGCTCGCGGGTGGGTGGTGGACGGGCTGGGCTGAGGGGGGACTGCCGAAGGCCCCGGGTAGTGTGTGTAAAAGAGGGGGGGGGGGTATGTGCAGTGTGGCAGGCCCCGCTCGTCCAGGCAGGCACGGCGGCGTGGCGCGTCGATCAATGCAAGGGGCCAGGGGGCCCCTCAGGGGGCACGGACGGTAGGTCCTAAGGGTGTACGCCCACAGGCGGCCGAGGGGTCGCGGCGCCTTCACGGCCGGCCAGCGGAAGTACCCGCAGCGCAGGGGGCGGCCGCCGGCCGCGCACTGGCCTCGCGCCCAGCGCGCGCTGCACCTCCTTGAGAAGTGTGTTTCGGTTTATGGTATTCGGTTAACGGAGGAAGAAGAGTAGCGGGTAGAACATACATGATCCTGATTGGTCGAGCCACTATCCCGTGTGGCGGCCGAAAGAGGCCTCGTGGTTAGTCAAGTGACGTCGAGGCAAGAAGCTCTCGATCAATCGGGAACGTTGTTGAATGTTCTACCCGCTATATTCCCCTTCCTCCGTTAGCCGAAATACACTATCGCGTCGGGAGAGCAAAGGGGATGGAGGAGGGCGGAGTAAATGCACCGAGTGGAGAGAAGAGCTATTTCAGTTCAGTTGCGTTTGGAGGCCGAGCTGAGCCGGGCAGGCGAGAAGCCTGGAGCAGCCAAGGCCCTCCTCCCGCCGGACGAGGCCCACCACAACTAGACCACAACGTGGTCCACATGCACACACCCATGATGGCACGGCACGTGCCGTTCCGTCTCGAAAGTAAAGGGTCGTCATCAAAGGGTGTCTCCTGGCCGGGAGGCACACATGAGCGGGCGTGTCTTGCACGCTCACCTGGCGGTCCTCGAGTGCGAGCGCACCCACCACGGGCCCCCGGCAGGAGCCCCGGCAGGAGCCGCACCGCATCCCTCAGAAGGCACCGGATCGCGATTTTCTCTGCGAACAATATCGATCAGCAAGGGCCGGGCCGGCCGGCAGCGCTCTGCCCCGCTCCACACCGGGCGGGGGGGTGGCGGTGCAGGCAGGAGCGAGAGAGACGCCCGCTATACTCGCGTGCTGACAGGCCGCGAGAGACAGAGACAGACCCACTCGAGTGCTGACAGTGCAGAGTGTAGAGGGAGAGCGCAAGCGCAAGGGGTGGAGGAGGAGATGCTGGCTGGGGCTGAAGGCTGCTGAGGGCTGTCACAACACGTCTCGTCTCCGCGACTGGCGCGGCAGCGCGGCACGGCGTGGACCTCGGAAGTCCGCCTGTCACGGTGCGACACGCCCCCCCCGAACTTGGGGCACCGCGCCCCGCCCCGCCTTTGCC